ATGAGACAGTTCTACGCAGGTAACTGATTGATAGAGAAATAGGTTTCCACCATACGAAGAAGTTGACAGATAAATCTAACGTATTTTCCTTTCTCTTGTTGCTGGACGCTTTTCAAGATGCGGTCGAAGCATTCACCATTCCTGTGTATAGCTTGTATCGTTCAGTCCAGACAGTTCTACGAGAATATTGTTTCAATCATAGAGTTGTGGATTTCTTTTTACCTGATTAGAAGTTCTTTCAAACAGTCTGTAATTATTTGATGATTTACATAATGATATTAATCTTTTATTTCCGGATATCGTATGAATATTTATGCAGTCAGCCTCTACGGGAACGGAACCGTTCAATCCACGGTCTGCCACCTCAAAAACTTCTGTTGTCGTACACTTTTTCTGATGCACAGCGAAAACATTAAACTGTAAAATCACGGTGACCTACTGGTTAATATTGAGACCGCGTCGATCTAAGCCACGGAACGTGGTGTGTCGAACTAGGGTAGTTATTGTACTGACCTGGGTGATATAGAACCGGACGATCATTGTCATCCGGTGATAGCGACACGATTTGAACCTCGGTGATGTAGCATATCAGCGTCTGCCAACTAAGGTGCCTGAGCACCATCATGATTGTCTGGGTGAAACGTGTCACAATCGATTTTGGTTGACTACCGTCAGTGAAAAACCTGCCCACGAACATTGCAACCTGGTATGTTCAAAATGACATGACCTAACCGGCTGCTTTCCTCATAAAATTGTTCTGCAAATTACAACACAATCGGACTAGATCTTGAGATTTTTCTCTTCCGAATGTGGTTGTGGTGACCAGTTTTCGTAATCGTCGCTCGTAACTGCTGTACAATTCTACGCATAGACTTCTTTGTCCTCAAGTGTTTACTCAGGAAAAATATACGTTTGTTAGTACTGACCGATCTGCGTTGCTCAATCTGGTGTAGAGAAATGTAGAAGCCTAATTATTCAATTGGGTCACTTCCATCAGCTGCTGTAATCGGTCTGTGGCTGACAGGTCCGATCAGTATGACCGATTGTTGCAAATAGTGGCGTTCTGGCTTTGATTTATTCCTATTTTCGTCCTGATTATTCTAATCTTGCGGTATATTTATTCACTTTTCGACTGTATTGCAATAGCCAGTACCAAATGTTTCAATCAGAACTGCTAGTAATGTGTACACATTCCGGTTCAATTGCCCCCCCCCCCTTTTCGTCCATCCCTTTTCTCTAGCACGACAATCGTATTATTCATCGGGATATCAAAGCAGACAATGTGCTAGTGAATATGTATAACGGAGACATAAAAATTACGGATTTCGGCACTTCCAAGCGTCTGATTGGTTTGGATCCGCGAGCACGTACTGTGGCTGGTACGTGCGCTTTCCATTCTATCCCCCCCCTCCTCCTGATGTTGTGTTCCATCTTCTCTTTCCGTTTCGCACTGTATTGACATCGGTTCCCGCCTATTGGACAGCGTTACTC